CGGCGAGTCAAGTCAACTGGGGGTTGACTTTGACCACAGTTGACTTTGGCTTTGACTTTGACCCAGACTTGAGTTGACCCTTGTTAAGGAGGGTTGTGGGTACAATTTAGTAATCAAGGAGGGTTGTTGTGTAGGGAATGAGGAGTTGAGACGAGAGGATTTCCGTACCGAGGATTGTGCAGACACTACGCGACGTCGAGGTGAGTAACCTTCCAGTAGCGGTGGGTCTACGGCCACAATGCCGGCCCACCAGTAGGAGTTGTATGTTAGATGATTGTCTTTGTGATATTCATCTAATCTTGCTACTACCTGGTATGTTTATGTGCTAGCATGATATGTTATATGTGATTGTGTGGTAGTGGTAGGGGTGAAATAGTCCCCGGTAGTCGGGTGAAATAGACCGACGGGTAAGTCAAGCACCCCAGAATGGCTTGAGCTGGGTAAGTCAAGCACTCCAGAATGGCTTGACCTGGGTAGGTCAGGCACCCCAGAATTTCCTGGCAGTATATGTGTGTTATATTATTGCGTGGTAGTGGTAGGAGGTGAAATAATCCCCGGTTGTCAGGTGAAATAGACCGACGGGTAAGTCAAGCACCCTAGAATGGCTTGACCTGGGTAAGTCATGCACCCCAAAATTGTCTGACAGTTTGTTGTTGTATGACGTGTGGTATGATGGGGGAACTCACTAAGCTTCGTGCTTAGTGTTTTCAGTTTTGTTTCAGGTACCTCTTCAGCAAGGGGGAAAGAGTCGGCGTGGTAGCTGCACATCACACGCACACCAAATTTCCGCATTTTGTGATTCATGGGGTTGTACTCTGATTTTATTACTACTTGATGACAAGATTTTGAGATGTGACTATTATGGTTTTATGGTTTGATGTGCTATCAACGATGTTTTGGGTAAATGATTTTATAAGTACTTATTTTTTTGGCTTGAAATTTTGGGATGTTACACTATGAATATAAATATAAGTTACCCTTAGAATCATTGGAGAATCGCAATGTTTTGTTTCAATCATTCCGGAATCCTTCAAAATGTCCAAACAATATTTCCTTTGAGACAAACAGATCCCTTTTCGAGTATGAGAGACTTCAATTCCCAAAAAATATTTTAAAGGACCTAGGTCCTTTGTTTGTAATAAAGATGCAAGAAAATCTTTCAGCTTCTTAATCCTAATCGTAGTAGGAAGATCGTCAACATTTGGACCTACATGTGAAGATGGTATCAGATCGGAAGCTAATATAGGTCGTCGTTGCCTACTATACATATGAATTACTGGCGGCCTTGCAGACTCAAATGGCTACTCAGAGTTGGATGACATGGGAGACTCTACAGTCGAGTCAGGAACATGTATAGTCTATACCAACAAATCATCATTATCTCTATCATCACGGGTGTTAGTCATCGAAGAGAAGGGTACTTTCTCTAGAAAACTAACATCTCGTGAAATGATGTAACGATCGAGTGTAGGAGAAAAACACTTATAACTTTCTGAAGGCGATAATATCCAAGGAAAACACACTTGAGGGACTTCGGATCTAGTTTGTTGATCCGAGTTCGAGAATCCAAAACAAAACAACTACAACCAAATATCTTTGGTTCAACAAGGAATAGATGTTTATTAGGAAACAAAACAGAAAATGGAATATCACCACCAAGAACTGCAGATGGAGTACGGTTGATGAGAAAACAGGAAGTAGAGACTACATCAGCCTAAAATGTTTTTGGAATGGTCATCTGAATAATAGTGCTCGAGCTACTTCAAGAAGGTGACGATTTTTTTCGTTCGACAATACCATTTTGGGCAGGTGTATCAACACAAGAAGATTCATGGATAATACCTTGTTAAAGCACGTATGATCGAAAGATTCTAGAGGTGTACTCTTTTGCATTATCACTACGTAAATTTTTCACAAAGACATTAAATTGTGTTTTAATCTCAGCAACAAATGAACAAAAATGGGTGAATACCTCGGAGTGAATTTTCATCAAATACAAGTAACATGGGAATAATCATCCACCAAAGTCAAAAAATACTTAAGCCCGCTTTTAGAAGTAATAGGACAAGGACCCCATACATTAGAGTGAACCAATTCAAATGGGGATACAACCCATTTACTAGTTCTAGGGCTCAAGTGAACACGCTGATGTTTTGCAAATTGACTGGACTCACAGTTTATGGATGATAAATGACTAAATTGGGGATATAATATCTTCAAACTTTGAAGAGATGGGTGACCTAAAGAAGAATGTAATTCAGATGGAGATAATGACATCAATCCTACTCCGGATTTCGGTACCTCGGGTTCAAATATATAAAGTCCACCGGATTCTCGTCCTTTAACAATTATTCGTTTTGTTGAAAGATCTTTAAAGACACAATAATCAGGGAAAAACATGAAACTAAAATTCAATCCACGAGTAACTTTACTGACTGATAGAAAATTAAATGAGAAATTAGGGAGGCTCAACACAGAAGATAATGAAATAGATGGGCCAAGATTAATTGTGACAGATCCTAGAACTTATGGGGTAGAACCATCAGCAATGGTAACGTGGGATCTCGATGTCCGAGTACGGAAATCAAACAGAAGATGATGATTACCTGTCATGTGATCTGAATTACTTGAATCAATGACCCATTTAGAGGCAAAAGATAACAAACATTTAAATTTAAGCATGTCGCATATTCACAAATGAACATGTTCATCTCTAAACATATGTATGTTTCTTTATGAACATACTAATGCTCAAACATTAATATATGTGGTTAGATCGTGTGTGTGTGTATATATATATATATATATATATATATATATATGTATGTATGTATATATGTATGTATGTGTGCGTGCGAAAATGTGGGCCTAGCCCGCTTGATAGAATTTTTGCCTCTTAGATTGAAGATCTCACGCTTTAATCCAGATGTTGACGAATTGTATTAAATTGATAATACTAACTTCTAACCACTTACTAGTTCTTCAAATATATATATATATATATATATATATATATATATATATATATATATATATATATATATATATATATATATATATAATTTGTAGGCTAGACCTTGGAATTATGAATTTTGTGGATTATAAATATGGTTTTCTTTGATTTTCTTTTTTATTTTGGATGGTCAAAAACTAAAATGTAAATGCATTTTCTGCTATGAAAATGGTTTTTGCTGATTTTTGCTATAAAAACTTTATTTTTGTATGTGTTTTCGCAAGTAAACCTATATTTTTGCAAATAAAACTTTTAATTCTTGAGAAATCTCCTTTTCTTTATAACAACATTATTTTTATGATTTTAGAGGTATTATGCCAATTTCACATGTGAGACTTGCAAAATTGATAGTTATTTTGAAAAACCCTTAATTTTTTCATAAATACTTTGATAGGTATATATAGGTGTTATCAAAATCTAGCTTATAAACTATAATAATTTATTTTGTGGTTTTACCAAATAGCATATTACAATAAACTTATTTATAAGTTAACTTATTTTTACAAACATAACCTTAACAAACATGGTACTTCGAACTTGGAACGAGCATGAAGAAATTAACGATACTTCTTTATCTTTTGAGTTGTTCTGCCGGATCGGAATAGAATGCGTGGAAGACTATATATTTACATTCTAAATTTAAAGTAGCACTATTTATTTTTCTATTTATAAAGTATGTAAAATAAATTTTAATCAAAGCATTTATTTTATTATATATTCTATAAATAAAAAATAGCAGCAAAAATAAAGTGGATCAAAAACACTCAAATAACTTTTTCCGCTAGTGTGTTAGCTTAACACTTTTTATAAAGGGAAATTGACGTATTATGGTAATTACCTTTTCGTTTTGTTTATATTTGGAAAACTTTCTTTATACACATCTAGATAACGAACTTGTTGGAAATATTTACATATGACCGCTTATAGCAAGTTACATCCGATCATAATAGTCATATGTGATTCAATAAGTTCGTTATCTAGATATGTAAAAAAAAAAGTTACCCAAATGTGAATAAAAATAAAAGATAATTATCTTGATAAGTCAATTTCATTTTTATTAAGGTGATCGATTATAATATTTACAATATTAATAGCTTCATTTAAATTTCTTTAAAACAATATTTATGAGCATTTAAATTGGGTACGACAGGAGTCGTTTTTTGTAGCATAATTATCAAATAACCCTATATATATGAAACAAGAACAATCTTATCGATGTGGATAAAAACTATTTTTATTTTCTGTATTTAAAATTCATATAATACATACAACAAACCTCATTGAAGATGATGTTCTTATTCATGTTATTGGTCTCCATCAGTGATACTTTTAGTCTCTATTACAGTTCTTTGGTTCCCGGCTTGTTTGTTTTTCTCTAACGAATTGAACATGCTTTAAAGTATGTAAATCCTAAGTGTTTCGGTTGACACCTGTTGGTGTAAACAACTAGTGTGACGTGGATGGTGATTGTCACATTTATTGTTGAGCTGGTATGCCAGCGTGTATCCTTAATTTTTGCACGTGTACATAGTATATTTTAAAATTTATATTTAATATCTTAAATAATAAAATTTTATAAAATGACAATGTGTTTTTTTACCGGTCAAATCTAAAGTTTTTTTATACCATTTAGGTTAAATTTTATACCAAATCAAAATTAGAAGGTAAAATAAAAAATAATAATAAGAACTTGCATTATCAAGGTAATTGTTTTTTCATTTTGTTTATATTTGGATAATTTTTTTTTACAAATCTAAATAGCGAACTTATTGGAAGTATTTACATAAGATCATTTTTATTGATTGTAACTTGCTACAACCGATTATAATGGTAATATATGAATAATCCAACAAATTTGTTATCTAAATATGATTTTTTTTATCCAAATATGAATAAACCAAAATTATCCTTATAATGCAATTTCCTTTTTTATAAACCAAATTATAAAGTAAGAAGTAAGAACCCGTGTAATAAACTATTTGAAATAATGCAAAATATCGGAAAGTGTCAGTTACTTGAACAAACATTAGCTTCTTCTTACCATACCACTATTCGAGGATCAATCGGGAGCTGTTCCCTCTATTTTCGGTTGATGGCTTTGCTGCATACCAACATTAAAATGGACGAATCAAACGAAGATCCTTCTGCAATTAACAGGTCAATTAACTTCTACATCTTTAATTCCACTGCATCTCTGATTTATCTTCGTTTTCCATTATAATCAAATTACATAAAAGACGATGCTTGAATGTGTCAACAGCTCTAAAAGTAGCTCATTTATAGATCTCATCTCATGGAGTTCCTCATCGTAACTTTTTGGTTTTTGGTATTTTCACTTCATGACAATCCAAATTTGAGTAATAAAAAAAATTAGGGGAAAACAGTAGCTCAACTGATACTTTGAATATTTTCATTTTCCATCAAGTTTCTCCATTGAATTACTTTGGAAATTTCCTTATTATCTTCTTATTTATCTTTTGAACTTCTCAAGAACTCAAATCGTAGAGTTTTCAACATCAATCTGTGGTCAGATCAAGAAAAATACCGATTTTCAGATCCAGTTTGGAATCTAGCGTTCAATCCGTTTACCGATGAACTGTTAATAACATTTGATGATGGTTTTCGTATGTTTGGAGGTTCACGAGTCAATTTGATGCGCTGGATTTAGTTGTATTCCAGTTGTTTCCTGCTCTTTGTTTTCCATTAACACCATTTTTCATGTCTCCTTCTACCGATAACAAAACTGATAAAACCCTAATTTACGCCAGGAACAAGAGAAAATCACAAAACGAAGATTTCAATCTTCCTGTATCAAAACACACATGTTTAGAGAAGAGCGTTTCTCCATCCAACTTCCAGTCTGACATTAGTCACTCAAGATTCAATCAAACAGAATCAGCAAAAGATAGCAACAATTTCTTTGAAGATGCAGACTCAGTCATGTCCGTATACAATGATTCTGAAAACGAGCTTCCATATCTCAAGATTTCTCCCTACGATCATCATTCTTCCTCTTCTGTTAATTGGAGTGGTAGAGTCTTTGATACTAGTGTCAATTCTGTAGACAGATCAGAGACAAAAAGCTTTGATGAAGCTTCTATGAATCCGGCTTCTTATGATTTTTACATGTCTCAAAATTTTGAGGAAGAAGAATTGGATTGTGGAGAAAATGAAACCAAGCAAATGGAAGATGAAGAAGCACTGGAAGATTTCTTTTGCTCCAATGATGTCATTCCAGATAATTTTGTACTTTCCTCAGGAAGATGGAATGTCAACCAAGGTATTGTTATTGTTCTTAATGTTGACTTTGATCTGTTGTAACTATTCAAACGAAGTATTATACATCTGTGTGTTGTTGTATTTTGTTATATTTTGTGCTATTTACTGATTTAATTTAATGCCCAATGAATGCAGATATTCAACAAGGCACCGAGAAACTGACCATTGACAAAGAGTTTGAGCAGTATTTTTCAATGCTTATGCTATAGCATAGTTCATAAAATAAGAACATGCAAAATGTACATTATTGTTGTATTTTTAAGTCGTTTGTAAAATATTGCGTTCGAAGGTCGGATTTTTGCTTGTGTCATCCTTCTAATTATTTCATAACTATTCCGAAACCAAAATATGTGAAAGGTTTTCGGTCCATTTATTTATCCAATGTGAGGGCATCAGATCACACTACGAAAGTTGGGATAGAAAGTTCGGCCCAAAAGGCCCAAATTTAGGCTCAAAACACTAATAATGGCCTAGTAGAGTTCGGCCCATTATTAAATATTAAGCCCATTCTAATTCTATGCAAAATGAACCTCGATCAATATTTCGGCACCTAGGTTTTGATCCCGTTTGAGGCCTCTTTGCAGTTTGCAGTTTGCACCACCAAACCACAGGGATAAGATAATCACTAAAATGAACATCTTGTAAAAGATTATATAAAATTAAAGAACAATATAAAAAGTTTTTATAACGAGACTTCATTCAAAATACCCACGCGTTTCCTTAATTAGCGGGGAAATGGTCAAATTACAAACATGTAGTAATACAAAATACATGAAAGATGCGAAAAAGAAAATCCTGAGGTAGCATTAAACTTTCTAAAATAGCATCCAAAAATAGGGTCAAACTTTGCACACGTGATAAAATTATGACCTATTTTACATCTATATATATATTTTTCTTGAAAACAAGTTGGTTTGGGACATTTTGCACAAGTATATTTTTTCTTAAAATTATGATCATTTGGGGATAATCTTTATTCTTTACAAATCAAAACCTTACAACTTTTTCAAAAAAATGACTGTTGACCCTTGTTGATTTGAGACCTTTTGGCGAGATTTATAGTTACTGTTTTCTTTTTTTACTTTCTTTTCAATACCTCAAGAACTTGTAGAGGATCAACAGATTCTCCATGACTATGGAGTCATGGAGATGCTGAACAAAAATTTTGAACATGGGTTTCTTGCTATATGTTGGGTTTAGATCGCAATCTACTCTAGTCTCGCTACCAACATTGACAATATACTTGATTTCTTATACACTTTTAGATTGTCCATCATCAAATTCAGTAACATTTGCATTTAAAGCACAATACATAAGAACTTGAAAAAAAAAAAACATGTGTACAGACAATACATCAACACTTGAAATCAACACCATTGTATAGTGACTTGTAGTATAAATGTATTAGAAATGCAAAACCAAAATTAAGCTTGTCATTTTGAGTCACGAAGGGCATATGGAAAGGGTGTTGTGAAATTTTTACAGGGGTATTATGGTCTATCCAGAAGGTCAAGGTATTATTGTTTTTTTTTTTTTCAATTTTATATTAATTAATAGAAACTATTTAAAAAACAGATTTGATCAAATTAGATATTTTAAAACATTAAAACATTAAAATATGATATTTAGAGCTTAGGTTAGATATAAACGATATTTAAACTTTTAATAAGGGTTTGATAAAGGTATATATAAAAAAAATTTGGTAATACTTTCAGAGAAATATGATCCATTTGTTTTGCAAATCAAACTCCAAGTATAGACAAACTTGTGATAAGGTAAGCATACAAAAATTTCTTTGGAAAAGTTTGAAATCTGAAATATATGGTCTTATCATTGACAATGACTTAGATATTATGTAAACAAAAATTTAAATCAAGACATAAATAATAAGTTTGTGATTGTTTAGGTTGAAAACTAAAATCGGTAAAAAAATTGTTATAAAATAAAACTTAAAAACATCATCGACTAAATACATTATTATTTTTCTATTTACATTTATTTTGTAACAAAATGATTTATACGAGAGTCTAAAGGTAAACAGTTAAACTGACTGAACTAATTTTTAAAAATAAAATTGGTTGGTATGATCTATGTTCGTTTTAGACCGATGGTCTCAATAAGGTATCATGAAAAACCGATCATGATTCTGTCTTAAATCGGTTTAAGCATGTCCCACACAGGTCGTTTCTTTAGAAACCAGTAATTTGTCTTATAAATACCTATGGTTCTCAAACTTTTTTTTTTCAACCACAATAATATTTTCTCTCTTATAGAATGTCATTATGTGATATCGTACTATTACGATAACGATTAAGTTTACATATTTTTTTGGTATTCACATTAAAAAAAAGAGAAATTAATTATCCTCGTATCTTTTTTTCCTATTTATCTTCTCTTCCTATCTATATGAAATAATGACAGGTATAACGTTTTAAGACATTTGTTATTATTTCACGTGTAGGAAGATAAATAGGAATAAAAGTAAGAGAATTTTGATTTCTCTTCAAAAATATTATATGATTCTAAAGTTTAATAGTTTTAAATAGTACGGTGATTGGAAAAACCACCAGACCAAGGCTCGATGTACACCTTAAACCAAACCAAGAAAACCAAACCGTTGGTTAGGGACTCATTTTTTAAAAATAAATTGAAAACACGTTATTTTGCCGATTTTTCTAAAAAACTGAAAAAATCTGATTTTTTTTAATAAAATCTCACTTCTAAAAAACTGAAAAAACCTAACCAGTTTTCCTATAAATGGTTTTTTTTTTTTTTTTTTTTTTTTTTTTTTTTTTTAACATGAACCGGTTTAAACCGGTGTTTGTGCACGATTCCCAATAGAACTGTTTTCATACGATTCCTATTGGAAGTTGCTAGGATTTCTCTCATCGCTGATCGCAAAATTAATCAACAACCGAATCGTAGTCAGTAGTCACAGAGATGACTCATCTGCCGGAAGAAGTAGTAGAAATCATCATCAATAGGCTTACCTCCAATCGCGATCGCAATTCCGCCTCCTTGATCAACAAATTATGGTACAAAGTCGATAGATACAGTCGACGCGTCGTGTATGTCGCCAATTGTTACGCTTTATCTCCTGAAAGAGTCGTCGCGAGGTTTCCAATGCTCCGATCGCTAACTCTGAGAGGCAAACCCAATATTTCCGACTCTAGATTGTTCCCTAGGGATTGGGGCGGCTCCGTCGATCCATGGATTGAAGCCATGTCGAAGAATTGCCGGTCCTTGGAGGAACTCCGGTTGAAAAGGATGGTGATATCTGATCGGAGCCTCGAACTGACCTCAGTTTCTTTTCCCTACTTCAAGTCTCTGATTTTGAGCTCCTGTTGTGGCTTCACCATCACTGGTCTTTCGGCCATCGCTTCCAATTGCTCGTAAGCTACCTTATTACCTTATTCTGGAATCTTCTTGCTTTTTAATTTTAGGTTTTACACCTTTCATGATCCGAAACAAAACAAATGAACTCTGTAGAGATTTGAATTGTGATGAATATGGTTATATACATATATATGTGTTGTAGGATGCTTGAGCAATTGGAAGTGGAAAAGAGTGATGTTACAGATAACAGCGGGGGAGAGTGGCTGAGCAACTTCCCTGAGAGTTTATCTTCCCTCGTGTCCTTGAATATCTCATGCATTAAAGGACTAGTGAATCCCACAGATCTCGTACAACTTGTAGCCAGATCTCCAAATCTCACAAATCTTACATTAAACAAAACAGTGACTGCTGACACCATCCGAAGAATCCTGTTAAAAGCTCCTCAACTGATGCACTTGGGTGTTGGTTCCAACATCCCACACTTGGAGATACAATCTTACATTCAACTATCATCATCATTTCACAAGTGTAAATCAATCCAAAGCCTCACATTCTTCTACCTTGTTCCTCCTATGCTTCTACGAGCTATTTCTCCAATCTGCCCCAATCTTGTTCATGTCAATATGAGATATGCCACAGGAATCCAGAGCTCGGAGCTCATCAATTTCATAAAGAAGTGCCCAAAGCTTCGTCGCCTATGGATTCTAGATTCTATTGGAGATGAAGGTCTTGAGGTTGTATCTTACACCTGTAAAAACCTTGAAGACTTGAGGATATTCCATGGAAGAGCAGAGATCGGTGTAACAGAAGTGGGTTTGACTGCCATATCCGCCGGTTGTCAGCAGCTCAAGTCTCTGACATACTTTTGCAAAAGAATGACAAACGCAACCCTTGTTTCTTTTTCCAAAAACTGCCCAAAAACCACTTGCTTCAGACTAATCATCTCAACCCCAAAACAGCCAGACCACACAACTCAGCAACCACTTGATGATGGTCTTGGGGCTATCGTACATTCATGCAAGAATCTGAGAAAGTTGAGCCTTTCAGGGCTTCTTCTAACAGACCAGGTATTCCTCTACATTGGAATGTATGCAGAAAGATTGGAGGCACTTTCTGTATCAGATGCAGGGGAGAGTGATGCGGGAATGCATTATGTGTTCAATGGATGCAAGAATCTAAGGAAGATGGAGATGATTAATTGCCCTTTTGGTTTTGATTTTGATGATGGTGATGGTGATGGTGTTTGCAGTGGTTTATTTGAGGAGTATGGATCATGTATGAGATCCGTATGGATGTCTTCATGTAGAACCACCCTGGGTGGATGTAAGATGATTGCACAGCGAAGAGAGTCTTTGAATGTTGAGGTTATTAACAAAGAAGGTGACATCGGAGAAGAAGAAGAATATCCAGATGATGATATGAAGGTTGATAAGTTGTATATGTATCAGGCATTGGATGGACCACGTGTTGATTCTCCATCCCACGTATGGACTCTCTGAGGCTAATGTCATAAATAAGGTAACAAACTATTTATTTATTTATTTATTTATTTATTACAAAACATCATTAATTATTATTAAGAAAAAGTTATGAAGGGTATTTTGTGAACAAAGTGTTCTAGGTTAATATCAAGAAGGGTGTGCAAAAGCCAAAAAACTAATTAAATTTGTGTTTTTTTTTATGTATAAATTAACAATAAAACTAGTTTTATCATCTTTTGGTAAATTATTTTAAAAAATAGTGTAGATCTGTAAAACCGTTGGTCAGTGTATAAAACTGGATTAATCAAGCACCTGCATGTTTTTCTGTTTGTCTACTTATTTCGTGATATCAATTCAAAAATGAAAAAATTGAAATGGAGGGTTAAAAAGCCCTTCATATTTGTGCCTTTATGAAGATCTTAGCCCAATTTTAAATAGGGGCTTGACATTATATGTATAGTTTTATGATCCAAAATAGCATATAAATTATATATAAAAAATCAGATCATTAGGGGCACGTGCCCCCCTCTCAATGCCTTGCATCCATCCCTATATACGATGCTAAATTTGTTGAGCTAAGGGGCATTAAAAAAACAAATGGGAGATATTTTTTTGGAACATTTTGACAAATATGATACAACAATAATCCAACTACACTCCTCTATCAACCAGATTGGATCTGAGAGGTAATCTTTCTAACATAAACCGCCACATAAACACATTCACTTCAATAGGAACATATTTATTCCATCTTGTAATAACACCTCCCATCGGAAGACAAACGACATCGGAATCAAGCTCCCAAGACCATCTATCTATATGAGAACCCAAAACAATAGGACTAAGCAAATCCATTAAGCTGTCAAATTGCAAAGTTTCAACCCCTCCCCTAATTGCTCGATGCCAAGTAGGATACCACCCATTCGGAGACCACCAACAAGAGCATTTTGCATTGCACAGTAGACAAAGCATAATGTCTAGGGAATTGGGTTTTAAAAATCAACCCACAACATCATGCATCCTCTCAAAACTTAGAAAGACACTCATCAACAATCACAATAGTCGTCGAATTTTTATCAACAATATTTCTCTCATGCAACTATTAATAGAGCCAATAATTTTGTGCCAAACTCCCCCACCAGTGTCAAGAACCACCCCAAATACGCCCATTCGGGATCATGCAAGTACTCAATGAGCCAATATTTCTATTTAAATGCAAATTGCATATGAAACCAACGTAATCTAAGTTAATTTCTAATGCAGGGACATACTTCAACAAGTATCCTTAAAAACAGAAAACAACTTATTTTTATATTTTTTGTTTATTCGAGTCTCAGGTCATAAAGTTTTTATATATTTTTCATGTTTTATCTTCTCTTTGCTTAAAACATACATCAAATACTTCAAATGTATATTATTTGTATAATAAATAGAAACGTTGATACAAAATAATACTCGATTAATAGCATCCAACTCTATTAAGTAAAACTTCCATAATCTCATCTTTTTGGAGTTTATGATCACATCATACAAATACTATCATGGAAGCAATCATTGATTATAGATAAAAAAAAAAAATAAGTATATATCGACGGAGTTGTACCTCCTCTTTGACAGCTTTCCTCAAGGTATATTTTGCATGCAGATAAGCATTTTCTCAAACTTCATTATAGAAAATGAAAAAAAAAAAAAAAAAAATTAGAAACCCAAAAATTAACATGATTAAGTGCAATCTGACTTCTTTCATTCAAATTTCAAAAGCAATCGAATTGCAAAATCCCCTGAAGGAGAGAAACAATTTGGTAGCATACCTTTGAATTTGAATATTTAGTTATTTTGAATATGTTTATTTGTGGGGAGTTGGGGGCCACACATTACAAGTGATCTTGATATTTCCTGCAAATACGATTTCTATCAAGCTTAAATCATGCAAATAAAGTTTAAAAGGTACATACATACATGATCAATTTCAATCGGACTCTGCTTTATTAATGGTTCTTACAAAGACCCAACAAACTTTGATATTTTTTCGGTCAAGGTCAATTTGAAAATTATCAAACACCAATGAAAACAATCACAATTTCACCACTTATCGTAACATGTAATGGTTAAGGGGTGATTGTTATTCTATGTTTCTTGTTTGGTTGTTTCTTTTAAGAAAGCATAGGTCTCTCGTACATGGTACTTTAACAAAAGTTAAGGAACATGACAATCTTTTTTTTTTCCAAAAACTAAAACCTCAAACCTAAAGCAACATACAACGATCATTGATGATGTACAAAACATTAGAACATTATTGCTCTTGGTTTGACCATTTTATCCCTCTAGCTAAGAAATCTAAAATCTTGAATATATTTCTTGCATTTGATAGAGAGGTTAAAGTCTCTCTGTCTCTCTCTCTCTCTCTCTCTCTCTCTCTCTATATATATATATATATATATATATATATATATATATATATATATATATATATATATATATATATATATATATATATACTATGAAAGGAAATCAAGATAACGCTACTTAGAAAGAACTATAACCCTATTCTACACATATAAATTCTAACACTCCATCTCAAGCTGGAGTATAGACATTGACATGCCCAGCTTGTTACAAAAATAATTAATTCTACTCTGGGGTAACTCTTTGGTGAACACATCAACTAGTTGACCTCTTGCCTTGACATGGGAAATTGTGATCGTTCCATCTTCTATCTTTTCTCGAGTGAAATGACAATCCATTTTTTGTGCATGGCTCTCTTATGAAATACTTGATTGTTGGTAATATGGAGTCATTGGTTTCAATTGAGGATACCCAGTCTCACAAACTAGATTACGCAACCACATGGGTGTGCAAGTTGTATGTGTCATAACTTTATACTCACTCTGCACTCGAAAAAAGAACTGCATTATGCTTCTTACTCTTCAAAGAAACAATATTTCTGAACCATCCCAAAACCACGGTCCAAATTTTTTTTTTTTAAAATCATTTAAGAAAACCACAATTCATCAACATCATAATAAAATCACAAGTCATGTATCCAAAACACCATATCAAAATACGGTATCAAAACCATGCGTCAAAATATCAGAGTCTAAAACATCTCAGGCTATAAACTGTGGTGTGTGTCATGCAGTCATCCTGAGCTCTTCCCCTTGCTAGTGGAAGTACCTGAAACCAAAACTGAAAATTGTAAGCACGAAGCTTAGTGAGTCTCCCAAACTACCACATACCAGACACATACAACATGCAACAAGGAGATACGGGCCCCGCCCACATTCATGGAGATACGGGCCCCATCCACACTCCGCTAACTAGGAGATACGGGCCCCACCCACACTCTGCTGGCTATGAGATATGGGCCCCGCCCACACTCAGCTACTATGAGATACGGGCCCCGCCCACACTCAGCTACTAAACATACATACAAGTATCACATAGACAACAAGTATAACTAAATCTATCAATCAGTCATATATCCATACTCAAACTAAGCTATGAGATATGGGCCCCGCCCACACTCGGTTAACTGGGAGATACGGGCCTCGCCCACACTCGGCTACTAAACATGCATATACGGGCCGACCTTGGTGCCTTAAACCCATCCTACTGGAGGAAAAATCACCTCGCAAAGCTGACTGTTGAAATCTCGAGTGAGGAATCTCTGACGGTTGCTCCCACTCGAGTCATATATCGCAAAGCTGACTGTTGGTGCCTTAGCCTCAGAGACTCCCCGACTATTATTATCACAATAACACTTAGTCAAAACATGATAATTCTCCTTAGGGTAAAATGACCATTTTAACCCTAGTCAAAGTCAACGCTTTGGTCAAAGTCAACCTTCTGGTTGACCCAACTCGTCGAGTCCTAGAACCTGAAACCGCGATCTAACTCGTCGAGTTCCCAGACTACTCGTAGTCGTGATCTGCCGAATCAACTCGTCGAGTCCCTTCACCGACTCGTCGAGTTCTACCTTAAGCTAAAACGGGACAAACCAACTCAACTCGTCGAGTCCCTCTATGGACTCGCCGAGTTACTCTGTCTGATTGATCCATCTCAATGGATTAAGCTCCTACCCTTCAGATCCAAACTCCATACTTCATCTACACACAGGGAATACACTTTTAAGGGTAAAGTTTCCAACTTTACCCACTATTAGTCCTTCTTAATGGGTTTAGCTCAAACCCTAACTCCCTAGAACGTAGATCTTTGTCCACAAGCCATAATACTCTAACCCACAACACACTATAATAGATCTAGGCCTTGGACATCAGTTAGACATGTAAAGTTCCTAGCTTTCCTTCCATGCATGGCCTTTTAGGGCTAAAAAGGCCATAATAACGTTTTTAAGCTTGCATGGGGCTTCCATGGTCATAAAGTTTGCACCTTGATGCCATGGAACCCCTTCTAGATCCCAGATCTGAAATGTAAGTCACTTGGGACGTCCAAATCCCAAAAACCAAGGTTCTTGAACCAAAACCCTCATAAAAATGGAAATAAGTAGATCTAATGAATGAATGATCAAGTTAGAGACTTAATTACCAGAAAGTGATGAGGATGGAAGGAAATCCCTGGATCTACTATCTTCTCCTTGAACCTTCTAGCTGCTTCTTCTTCTTCTAGCTTCAAGAACACACAAAATCAATCAAGAATGGCTCACACACTCACAAAATGCTCTAGGGTTTTGTGGATTAGGGTTTAGGACTTGGAGGCTGGAAATGAGGCCAAAAGGTGGGGATTAAGATGCTTAAATATGATGCAAAACCCCGAAATTAGGGTTTCACTCTGGCAGACCTACTCGCCGAGTCGAGGGCTCTCGACTCGTTGAGTAGATAGCTGAAAACCCGCGTCCAAGACTCGATTCTACTCGACGAGTCTGGGGCTTCCAACTCGTCGAGTAGCTCTATAAAAATGAATAATTTAGTAAATAAATGCGTACCAGAAACTGAGCGTTATAATTCTCCCCCACTTGTCTTAGACTTCGTCCTCGAAGTCTGCTGTGTCTGGAAACAACC